TCCAACACCTCCTTCTCTCCTTCCTATTTTTTATGGTGAGATACTACCGTCCATTGCTCAATTTCTTTAGTTAGGGAGTAGATTTCTTGTGTGTTAATGTCTTGGTTGTTTTTGTTTTGGTCCTCCGCCTTAGGTTGGTTAGGGCAACTTCTAAGTACACGTCCTAGTTTCCCACAGTTTGTACATAGTATTTTAAATCCCTCGTACTCTATTTTTTGGTAATGTTTGCCTAGTATAACATGGTTTTTAGGGGTTTCTCTATTGAGACTAGAATACAAACCCTAGCATATTTCCCTCTTAGTGCCGATAAAGTACATGCGTCTATGCGAATTAGTTGTCCTAGCTTGTTTCCTATCTTTGAATATTGAAGTCATAAAACACCGTAGGGAGTTCTGGGAGCCTAGCCCAAATCACCGAGTAAGTTAGGGAGGCTTCTGAGGCCACGAATCTGGGCTCTCATTTCCTTATTGTGAGGTATTGGTTTCCTATGAACCATGGTCCCTCATGCAAGGCTTTGTCATAGTTCTCTCTTTTGTTAAATTTAACTAAGTAGTAGTCATTTCCAAGATCTATTAGCAATATTTGTTATGAAGGTTTCCATATGGCCTGGAGTTTCCCTTGAAGGAATAAGTATCCTACTCTTCTTCCAAAATTTTTTATAATAAAGGCATTTGACCAGTTTTTGTACATTCTCTCCTTATCACTGGAAGTGATAGTGATGAAATTATCCGACTCAAGGATGTTGTCCACCTCATCCGAGGCAAAGAGATTTTCGCTCTCATATGAGGGGTCAAGGGAACCCACGTTACTTTGGACCAGAATGTGGTTCATGTCCTGTTGGCTTGAGGTATTGCAGGTAAGTTTGTTCAAGAAGGAACACTCTTCTGTTCCCATGATGATTCTTGGGTTCTGCTGGTATGGAACTTCTGAAGTTGTATTGTCACCATTTCCTTGCCTTCTGGTTAGTGTCTGGGTCGTATCTTAGAAGTGGAAGTTAGCAGGGATTCATTGTTGCTCCGATCTGTGGGCTTGGTGGTGTGCATATGGGGAGTTCTGGTGCAGGGAGAATAGTGTAGGGGCGAAGGGATAGGAAAATGCAAGAGAAGAGACTTAGGTTAAGTTAGAGAGAAGTGGGACTCTCTCTCTAACCCATTTTGTATCGTATATTCATATATACAGTTTAAATTTGTTGTGTTAGCCATTACTGGTGTTGAATCAAGAAAGAGAAAGTCAACTACACAAAGTGTCAACTTATCCATTAACCCCGAAAATAGTTATTGTACATCATTTGATGATATAATATTTGAATAGATGGTATTGTTTACTGTAATTTCATAATATTATGTGTCAGAAATATATAGAATAAACTTGTAATATTATAAAGAATAATTTACGGGTAGAATTATTATATAAAAATATCAGGTAAATATAAAATAAATTTATTTAATAATAACGAAGGGAGAGATAAGAGGAAAAGATAAGATAACGAGCGACTACACCAAATCAGTCATTATGTAAAGTGATACTTTTTGGCGTTGCGTAACGACGAATGTAATGATACTATATAAAATAATTTAAGTAACAATCAAAACAAATATTGTATTTAAAGTAACAATGCAATACAATACAATAGTTAACAACCATCCAAACAAAGCTCTTAAGACATACAACATTGAGGGGTCGTTTGGTAGGATGCATTAGATAAAATAATGCATGCATTAGCTTTGTATTAATAATATCTTGCTTGGTACATATTTTGAACCTATGCATTAGTTATACACCTTATTAGTATTATCTTATGCATAACTAACACATAGAAAATTATGGTATTAACAATGCAATGGGTTTTAATGCATGCATTAGCTTTGTATTAATAATATCTTGCTTGGTACATATTTTGAACCTATGCATTAGTTATACACCTTATTAGTATTATCTTATGCATAACTAACACATAGAAAATTATGGTATTAACAATGCAATGGGTTTTAATGCATGCATTAGCTTAGTTAAAGACAAAATTGTCCTTCAAAATTTACGCTTAATTAAAATATGCTATTATATTAATGCAAGTTTGAAATAATCCAAATAGGTGAGAAATAAAATTATATCCCTGGTAAATAAATAAATACTTAGAAATTTTTTTAATAAATAACTATCCCATTCTATACTATAATATAGGTAGGCAAATCACATATTTTTTTAAAAATATTTTTCATATAAAAACATTCCTTAACATAATTTTTTTTAAAAAAATATAGAGTGGTGGACTAGTTTTGAGGGTATTTTTATAAACAAATAATATTTTTAGAAGTGCACTACATCAAACCAAACAATGGATAAAAAATATGCCAACACAATTGTGTTAGAGAAAATAATGCATGCATTAGCTTTGTGTATTAGTAATTCTTTGTTTGGTATACTTTTTCAAACTATGTATAACTAATACAAATATTAGTTATACACTCTATTTAGTATTATCCTATGTACTAGTGTAACGCTTCGCGCTTCGCGCGGTTATTAACAAAAAGAATTGCATCTTGTTGACATAATAACTCATTTAAATTATTGCGTGAAATTTTCTTCAAAATCTCTTTAATACAGCCGTGATATACTTCTTTTCAGTCATTACTACTGTTGTCTCTTGGCAAAGGCCTTTTAGAGTCCGATGAAGCAAGACAATATTTGCATTGATATTGATAAAATCAGGAGACAGTTTGATTAAGGATAAGTTTTTACAATCTTATTTACTAATTTCGATGCCTAATCCCTCACAAATCTAAGATAGTAGGACACATAAAATAAGCTTCCAAGGTCCATAATGTGTCCAAAATTCAGCTTCTATAAAATGTCAGGAAAAAATATCACACAGATGACCATCATGACAAACACACACATAAAAAAAATTTAAAGAAAAATATCTTCTGTTTAAATTCACATATGGCCAAGTAAAATCATCTTTAAGATTCCTCTTTATGTGTATATATGATTCAAACTTAAAATGCATACTATACTAAAGGTAAATTAATACTACTAAATAAGTATCAAGTAAATTCATCATAATAAACCCAAAAGAATCATCTATTCAAGTCTTTGTTTTAATTTACATACAAGTCAATTATTCATAACATGCCACAGAAAAAATATATCAAACGATTATTCATAACAAGTTCATCTTTTTGCATCAAATGCCAACCATTTCGCCTCTCAAATGGACCTTTGAATTTCTTCTGCATTGCTTATGTGGATTATTTATGGAGAAGTTTTAATTGGCCGTGACTTTGTATCTGGTAGTTATCATATTTGCGCCCGTCAATATTTGTTCCTTCAGCTTGAGAAGCACAAACTCCCTGCATTTGAAGCAACATATATTTTTAATATCATATATGACTAATAAACATTATTGATAGAAAATGATGTCGATATTTAACAACAATCAAGAGCATAAAATCTAATGATGTTCGGATATTCAATCCTCGCAAATATTTGACTAAAATGATAAGCTAGAAGATCTAACATAGTTTTACATACTCTCCTTGGTAGCTCTTCGGTTCCATTTTCTTCCCAAAAGATATTGAAAAAAAAAAAAGACTTTGATAATAAAGAGGAGTCATCTCTGTAGTTATTTATTTTAACAAATGCATATTAAAAGAAGTAAATAAATAATTATAGAAGGGAAAAAGTTGAATAGTTATAACTTTAGAGACATTAGGGCTTCTGAAACTTAGGTAAATGATAATTTAGGTGAAAAAGGAAAATATAAAATAAAGAAAAGATAAATACCTTTGATGACCTAATCTGCATATGCTTCGCATTGTTGAGGCAGCAAAGTAAAGGGGTTTATATGAGCCAAAAAAGCAAGGCCGTTACTATTTATTGTGACTCTCCACTGTTCTTTTATCCCTCTTCATTACCACTAATACAACTCTTTATTACTTTCTTTGTTAGCACAATCAGTAAATAAATAAATAAACAAATAAATAAGAAAGAACATGCAAGGCAACTGATGGGATGACGTAGCCCGTCACTATTACATTTCATATTGTGAATTGCCACATGGTGGCACATACAAATAATGTACACTTTAGTTACAAGTTAATTAATTAATTTCTCTCTTTCTATATTTCATAACTGAATTCTCTTCGTAACAAAATAGTAATTACACTTTTTTGTATATTCCATAATTGAAATCTCCTCATCCATAAGCCTCATCAGTTTCCTTATTAGTTCTAGGTAGTAAATGATTTTTTGTATTAGAATTAGAAAAAAATCTCAAAAAACCAACAAAAAAGAAATATGAAAGCTGGCCATATAGAAATGCCACATCAGCTGGCCAATTCCCTGATTTATATATTTATATAGATGGCTAATGCATAGAAAATCATGGCATTAGCTATACAAAGGCTATTAATGCATGCATTAGCATGGTTAAAGACAAAATTATCCTTAAAGTCCCTTAAATTAAAGAATATGGAGGACATTTTTGTAAACAATTAAATTTCTTAAAAATTATGCAATGTATTTTAATTTTTAATACATCACACCAAACAATGCATAAGAAATAATCTCTATATAACTAATGCAAACATAACTAATATCATCATTATTAATACATCCTAATCAGCATTATTTATCGTTAAATTTTAATAAATTTATTTATCGTTAAATTTTAATTAATTAATATTTTCAACATTTACCACCCTCTTCCAACCCCATTGTCCTCTTCAACCCCCCCCC